TGCTTAAATATTTTTATGCCATTAAAACATGTTTTGATGTCACCTGGGTGGTGGGGTTAACACGCTTATTCATTTGCTAAACAAAAAAGTATCTGGCAAGGGATAGGGCAGGAGCCATGCTCCCCAGGCACCAGAGGCAGAGATGTAACACTTGGCCCTGCCTTCCGGAAAGAGCTCTCTTGCCTAACTCCAGGGCCCCGCATTCACACAGTATCCTGTGTGAATGCTGCCCCCTGGAGGTGTGCAGTTTGACTTCAAGGGTCTGGGTAAACAGCCAGAGCCATGGGATACGCAGGTCAATGATAGAAGAACAAAGTGGGAACACAGGAAGGAGCAATGAGTTCTGCCCAAATTAAAGATTTTTATGGAGAATTTAAAATTCTCTCATTTTCAAAAGCACTTTCTTTTATGGATCTGTGGAAAAAATGAAGTGAGAATGTGCAAATTCTTCTAAGGAAAAACCTTTCTTTTCAACTTCGGACAACAAAGATGTTTCAAAAACTTTGTTCTGAGGCTTACGCAGAGGTAGTTGTCCCTTTAACGTACTACCTCATCCCCAAACTGCACTTTTAGACGGATTCTCGCAAGTTAGTGGACCTGGATTGTTCTACCAAGATTTTAGATTTCACTTGAACCGTGTTTGTGTGTTCACACACATTTCCAGGGATGGGGAGAAAGAACTGATGAACTGGAACAACAACAACAAAATTTTCAGTTGATAGGGGGACGGTTGGTAGGAAGGTGATGGGGGAGTCTCTTAGCTTCCCCCAGAATCATCGGGTAGGTAAATGGAATCTCCTTTCCTGTCACTACTGCACGTTATCACATCGTGGCGGCCAGGAGAGACAAGCTATGTCATTGCGAGAGGGAGGGTACAGCAGTACCATGAGGATCCTGGGATGTAATTTACTGAAAAGCACAGTAGGGTCTTCACCATAGGGAAGAGCTTTACGATAGGGATTACTATGTGTGATGTTATGATGGAGGCTCCCTCAGATATCACCGAGGCCGAGAACAGCCGAGCTGCTTCTGATTAAACAGTGCCAAACAGTCACGAGGGGTCCATATCCGTCCCCATTCTGAGTCGCTTGGCAAAACCTCCAGCCTCGTGTGTAAAGCCAGCAAGCCAGTGTTGGCCCGGCTTTCTTCCTTTGTTGGGAATGGAAAGCGCCGTGGAAACACGATGCGTTCGCCCCAGTTGGAGAGGGCTAGGTGACTACCACCTGAGGCCACACGAAAGGCATCCGGATACTGCGTGACCACCAAGGGAGGCGACCTCAAGGAACGTGTTCACGTTACTTGCTTCTCCGAACAGGGGAGAGTCTATAGCCTCTCACTGTTTGCAGAGGGCTTGCCAAACATTTCTGCAAAGTACTTAACTTCCTACATCCCTTTGCTCGAATGTGTGGCTAATGTTTTCGCTAAGGAACCCGGCCATTCAGGAGCTCCGTGCGCCACAATTAGCCGCCTGTCTTCATCTGTCTCTCTCCTTTTGTCCACAGACTGAACTGTGGACCTGTGCAGTCACTCACAGTGACAAGAACCGCACACGGGCTCTCGCCGGCCCCCTTGTCCAGCGAGCGACAGCCAGGGAGGCCTGGACAACTAAGATGCAGACAACTCAGGCCTTCTGAGGCCCGCGGGAGACACAGCGGCTCTCTCCATGCTGCGGGCACCAAAGCCCAAGGCTTAGCAGCGAATAGAAGCTGAAGCGCCGGACCAACCGCATGGATTTTCATTTTCTAGAGCTGAGGGTGTTCTCCTCACTGGCACTTGCTCGCAGCACACATTTTGCACCTAGAAAAGATACCACGGCCCAGATTGGTGCTTATCCTGTCTGGGTTTTTAGAATGGCCAGGTGCGAGAGGCTCTTCCCAATGTGAGTCTTAGCTCGTCAAGAGCTTCGTCACATCACAATGGACACGTATCGATCTGTCATTTCTTCAGCTGCTTCCCCTCAACATGAAGTTGAGCCAAATGAAACTGCACTTTTTGTGGGTCAAGAAAGATGGAATCAAGAAAGAGCAGCTTTATATTGTTCATCTCAACAGAAAGGATCACTAGGAATCAGCATCTATGAAGTGGCTTTTATGTCCCAGGCCCTATGTGGGGACTTGAACGATGCTTTCTCTCTTAATTTTTGTTCACGACACCATGTCAAGGTGCTAGCATTATCCCCATTTAGCAGATGAGACAATGGAGGCTCCTAGAGGTTAAAAAAAATTGCCCAGGGGCTTAGTAGAACAGATGAAAAAGGAACCCTTGCTTGTTTGTCTCAAAGGCCTAAATACTTTTCACTCTGCCATGGGTAGATTTTGTTTTACAGAGTCACCAGTAATGCACACAGGTGGTTCACGTGAACTCAAAAGGAATAACCGAAACAATGACCGAGTTATATATTATGTTCCTACCCCACCAAATGACCTCTGGTGACTCTCTGCTTACAGTGATGTACAAATTCATTCAAGTCCTCAAAATTCTGCTAGTTTCCCTTTCTAGCTTTATCCCTTATTGCCTTCCTTGCGCTCCATTCTCCTAGGTCACATCTCAGATCGCCTCACTTAACGTGGCGGCCACTTTGTCCACGCTGCATTTTCTTCCTGAAACCATCCACCCGGTCTGTAGAATCAGCTTCAGAAATGGTACCCATTCTTTGAAGCCCACTCTGAATGTCTGCTGGTCCACGACTTTTCCGTGTTCCCCTAAAAGATGTGAATGCCTCTTTCTCCAAACTTCCATAGCCCCTTGAAGGCCTGCCCTAGTACTTACGCCTTCTGCTCCCACTGGTGCTATGGCTATTTGGACACTTGCCCATCCTCTCCCTAGAGTAGGGGTTGGGGGCAAACTCATCCTGTAAAGGATCAGAGAGCAAATATTTGGGGCGTTGCAGGCCCTACTGTATCTGCCACAACTGCTCTGCGGTTGAATTGTGAAAGCAGCCGCAGATAACACATAAAGAAATGAATATGGCTGTATTTCAATAAAATTTTATTAACAAAAGCTGGCGGCAAGCTGATTTTGGCCCCAGCATGCCAATCCGTCTTTGCTCACTGGGTCCCGACTGGGAGCAATTGTGTCTTCCTCATGCCTTTCGTCCCAGCTGTACTGTTTAGCGCCACTCATAAATGTTTGTGGAATCAAATAGAATTTTTAATTGCTGGGCTCAGAGATACTGTTGTTTAGTTATCACAAAGGCCCTGAGAAGTCTGCAGGTTCCTCTCCTCCTACAGTTGTCTGTGCATGCCACTGAGCTGTCAGAACCTCTTGACCTGCGGCTGATTTTTCTGCCGGCTCAGGACCTTGCCCAGAAGCTTCAAAGGCAGGCTGACTTCTAAGGAGCCATAAAACACCCCATTTTGTCAGTCCCCTCTCCTGAACCTCGGGAAAACACCAGCAAGGTTTACAGTTATAGCAAGCCACCTTAGGCTGAGCATCTGCCATGAGACAAGAGAACTGACACAGAGTGATTTTTCTGACTCAAAAGGAAAGAGAAAGGTGGGTCCCAGGGCAGGGAAGAAGACTGCAAAGACCTTTCTCTTTCACTGAGCCAGCGGGTTACTAAGTCTGTAAGTGATCTCTCATGGAGAGCCCCTCGCCACTCGTGGGCTTCGCTCATGAATGTAGTTGCATGGTTATATGTAGGTAGACCTTCAGAGGCCTGTATATCCATCCACAGCGTTCTTTCCAAAACACAGCGGCTCACCCAGACCACATTCCCCAGGCGCTGGGGCAGCCTGCTTTCTTTGTTGACAATAGTTTATGTATTGAGACGCTTCCATCCTTCCATCCTACTGGGCGTGTTCAGCAGGGTATCTGTCCTGGTTTTATAGTTACTGTTAGTTCCTGTCCTCAGTCAGCTCTGACCTCCTTCCTTCTGTCTAAATCTCTCGATACGATAGAGATGACCTGAATACCACTGGCCAAAAACCAGCAGCTTGTTAGTTATAAAATTAAAAAGTAAGAATATAAGGAAAGGTTCTTTCCTTATAAGATATGTAATGACCAGCAACTACAGCGTCTTTGGTATGTCTCTCTTCTCATAAATAAATACATTTACTCTATTTTCTTTCTGTCTGGGATTGTGGCTGGGAAATCAGTGTGGGTGAGAAGAGATGATACTTGAGCATAAACAGATTAAGAACTAATTTTGGAGGTTTAGTGATGAAGGAAACATACCAATTCCCTGGTCCCTACCTGTCTGATGGCCGATCCTTCCGCAGACACAGAGCCAACTGCTCTGTAGGGAAGGCTGCATGTTATTGCAAAGGATGGGAAGGAAGCGAGTCAATAGAGTAAAAAACAAAATCATGTTCTTTGCTGCCAAGGCATCCGGACGTTTCTACTCTTGGCTAGTGAGAGTTATCGGCGTAACAGGGCTCTCTGCTCTCTGCCTCGGTCCCCCCACACCATCAGCCCCCTCCCCTGGGCCTCCCCTCCCCTCCTTACCAAGGCTCCTCCCTCTCAAAAAGAAACATCAGGTTATTTTAAAACCGTGACCTGAGAAGGCCTCTAGGGCAAGCCCATGCAAGCTGCTTTCTGCAGCAATCCTAATTGCACATCTGCAGCAAAGCTGCCCCCAGTATCCGCCTAGAAGACAGACCCATGTTTCTACAACCAGACCAGGGGGCACCACTCTGCTGCTATGAGGAGTATACCATTTGATCGTTATTTTTATGAGATCATGCTCAGGAATATCATGTAAGACAAATGAAGGGAATGCCTGATACAAATTTCCCCCATTCACCCTACGTGCTTCTCTTCCTTTCCATTTAGCTACTTAAAAAGGTTGGAAATGTGATTCCTAAATCACACCACTAGACCAGGTCCTTTATGCCAGGCCCCGTGGCCAGCTTGCCCCGTGGGCTCATGGCAGGAGCCGGTTGGTTTACCTGCCTCTGGAGACATGGCGTGGAAGGAAATGGGGTGAGGGAGAGGACGGAGGTGGGGAGCAAAGGAAAGGCCCGTGTTCAGCAGGTCCCAGAACTGACGTTATTACTCACATGTGTTGGGAAGCATTGGGGTACAGTTTTGAAAACTGTGGGGCCGAGTCCTCGGGGCCGTGGGGCGCAGCGTGGCTGATCACCATCATAATGGGCCTATGGGGATACATTCTCTTAGACATTTTGAAGTAATTAATGCTCTCGTTAGTGATTAAGTCTGTGAAGTAGTCCTGAAACATACATTTGACACAAAACAAAAATTACAAAAGGTGACATTCATCAGATCACATTTGAATACTTCTTTCTTCAGAAGCATCTCACTGAGTGAAGGTATAAGGTCTAAAGCAGGAAGGAAGATGATACTTCCCAAAGCAGCAAAACATCTTCTGTAACAGACAAAATCAGTTGCCAGTTACTTTCTAGGGTGGCTAGCTTGGTAACATGCAAAAATTGTATTTTGAGTAAGGTACAACTTAGCAATTAAGAAAGAAAAAAAGTCCAGTCCTGTTTGCCCAAGATAATGATCAGATCTGGCAATCCAAATGCTAGAACCCATGAAACACCGGATACATATTTCATTCTTAGGTTTCATTGATGTAATTCGTTGACAAAAAATTTAATTACTTCAAGGGCAGGAAACACCCACGCCCACTACAAATTCACAGTTGCAGAACACATACACACACACACACGCGCACACACGCACATGCACAAACAAAAGAAAAGGTCTTTTCTTTAAATTCAAAATTCACCTGTGGGAATTATACATTAATTGCTAATGAAAGCCATAGCCAAAATCTGGGTGCACATGGAAAAGCTGCAATATTTTATCAATTAATTCACTTGAAACACTAAATATGGGGAGCATTTGATTTCCTGCAGATTATACTGTTAATTGCACAACTAAAATGATACAGCTGCTGGGATTTGAGCCTGACTTGTTAATAAAATGATCCAAGCTACAGTCTGAGGGACTGATGCAACTCTGTAAGGGGGAAGGAAGAAATGGAATGAAAAGGAGCGATGAAAACTTAAATTAAACCACCTGCTTCCTCTAAGTGGGTATCGTTGGCCTGGAGCTCCAGTACAAAGTTTATTCAGAAAGTGCCCAGGCAGCATTCACAGTGTCAGAGGCTCCCAGGCATGACTAATCACATGTAGATTCAGGGACCAACACAGCTGCAAAAGCAGTGCCCAAGGGAGGAAATCTGTGTCACATGTCATTGTGAGGACAACTCCACAGGCCATCACCTTCTTCCATGGGAGTGTCTGTTTCATTCCTTTTCTCACCAAAAAAAAAAGCCAGATATTCTTTCCGGACACAGTTGTCTTTGACACTTAATCAGCTGTGATAATGGGCAAGTTACGCTAATTTTAGTCTTTGGAGGGATTCTTGATTACTTTGCTCTCCTTAGGACAACAGGGAAAGAAAGGTTAATAGCTTGAACAAGGAGCATGAAAGCATCCCCACAGATAAAAAATGATAGCGGTGACAATTAGCGCACTTTGTAGGACATTGCTCAAATCTGCCTCCAAGGTCCCCGCCAGCTCTCAACTTTGTTGAGTCTGGAATCCTATTAGCAATGTTTGTGAATTCATTTGCATTCATTGTTTTCTGAAGGGGACGAAAGAGCGAGACTACAACACCTTATCTCCCACCAAGCTCCTCGAGCCCAAATCGGGCCAAGCATAAAGGCAGCACTGTGCCAAAATTAAATCAAGTTCCCTCTCTCTGATTTCTACCAATGGCTCTTTCGTAGTGATCTACGCTAGATAGAGCAGATTGTCGGCTTCTTTTAGATAAGTGAGGAAGAGCTGGGCATGGCTAGAAGGGAAGAGGTATTTTAGGCTAATTAGCAGGCTAAATTCGAAGGTATTTTCCCCTTCACTCTTGTCGTCTGAAACTTGTTTTATTTTTGGTTGGCAATCACAAAACCTTTGTGAATTTTAGAAAGTCTAATCTGGGATGGATTTGTTAGAGACACGGAGGGACGTGTCGATTTCAGTTTCTATGAACTGATTTGGAAATCCGGGGATTGACGGCCCCAGGGACTTTTGTGGACTCTCGTTCCTGTGGGGCCGATGTCCTTGTCACATATCAATGCTTGGTCAGACAGGAGGAAAAGCGAAGAATGTGGTTTCCCCGACCTTCGATAATTGCGCTTGTCTGCTCTAAACCTGAAGCCACAGACAAAATGCACTTTTACGCCAGTGAAAAGCGGAATGGTACAAGATGAACATTTGATTATGTGGACAAATCCTCTAGGGAGTAGAAAAAAAAAAAAATCACAAGTCCGAGTGGAGGCATCTATGATTTTCTTGATGATACTTCATCAAAGGCTGATTGCCTTTCATCCTAATGAGGGAAAAAAGAATCACTATTCAAAGTCAGTGTTCCTTGAAAATCTTTTTCTTGCCTGGAGTTTAAAATTACCTTAAAATTTCTCATTCTAACATTGTGAGAACATAGAAAGCCAATCTCGTGGATAAGTTAACTCACTGAAAATGGCTTTTCCCCATTATGCACAAAGTAAATTGATGCAGCGTAAAAGTGGCTGAAAATTACCTTTGCATAATCAAATCCATGCTTTTCTTTGATGCCATTACGACAAACAGTGTAATTATAGAAACGAGAATTCTTGATTAATCCAAGCCATTCTCGCCATCCAGGAGGGATGTAGCTGCCATTATATTCATTGAGGTATTTTCCAAAAAAGGCTGCAAAGGGAAAAAAAGGGATTAGTTTCTCATATGAAATGATTAATCACAAATAAATGCATAAATGCATAAGTATGAAATTAGGATTTGAAAAAGGGGCAGTAAAACAAAAGTAAACGTTGGTAACGCCAAAATAATAGTGTAATAGCCTGATCCTTTGGCAAAGTGACACACGGACATTTTCCTTTTGAATAAATAAACGTAGTACCCATGTACATGGATTATAGCGCAATAAAATCACCATAGTGATCATGGTACTCGGGGTGCATCTGTTTCTTGTGGTTCTGCTAGAATAAAAGCAGAATGTACCCTTTTGTTAAGTTGATGTAACAGTCAGAGAAGTAGCCAGTGGAAATGTGGAATGCTGTCTCTGGGCACATAGTTGGGGGGGTGGTGCTGAAAGTTCAGTCTTGGTGAGAAAGTAAGTTTTCCAACTTACTATTTGAGAGTTATAAATTATAAAAACCCTATAGAAAAGTTTGTCTTTGTGTTTGCATATCCAGAATACAAATTTTCCAAGTCAAGGAGCCATGGTAAACTCCCGTGTCTTCAGCACATGGTAAGGGTTTTTATGTCACACATATTTTATGGCATTGGTGTTCACATTATGTATATTTTAGGAATGTGTCTATTATTGATAAGAAAAAATTCTGGTGACACAGAATTACTATGCAGATGACTAACTTTCATAGACTCATAGTCTAAGAGAAGTACATGGGACACAGACACTCTACTGCTCATCGACGAGGCCCCTGGAGGGACTTCACATTTGTAACTTTGGCATGTCCCACCTAAGGAAGGCCACTGGGCAACAGAGCTTACTGATCCTTTCAGAGGGAAACTTTGGATTTGGATTTGGTCCTCTGCCAAAGAGGACGAGAAGAGATGGGCAAAGAGGAGAGAGTAGGGCAGGTTGGGGTTTCGGGAACAAAATGGGTTAGATCTTGAAGTCAAATACCTTGTAACTATCAGAAGGGTAGCCAAAAATGTATTGTCGGCACACTTTTGAGAAAGAGGGTACTATTACTTTTCTTTCTTTTTTTTTTTTGATATGTTCACTTACTTTATTTTTTTTTTTTTTAAAGATTTTATTTATTTATTCATGAGAGACAGAGAGAGAGAGGCAGAGGGAGAAGCAGGCTCCCAAGGAGCAGAGAGCCCG